GATTTGGAATAGAATGTGTAGTGTCCCAATGCATTTTCCACACAAACAGCCTGTGTATGGAAATAAAAGCTATTAGAAGGATTTTGAGCTTTATTCACTTTTTTTCAACACACTGCTATTATTTTGAACACAACTGTATATTTTAAAGGTGCTAAAAACAAGAACTTAATAACTAGTTGTTCACCACATGTCAGTAATCAACCCATGCAATCCATACATACAAAGAAACCAAAACAAATGGGCAACACCCAGTCACAGTGGCTAAATGGTTAGCACTTCCGCCTGGCAGTACTAGGGTCGTTGGTTCAGCAAATCCCCAGCCATGGCTATGCACCACCTGCCTGGAGTTTGCCTGCGTGGGTTTCCTCCCACACTCCAAAGACATAGCTGGTAGGGGTTCTTCCCATAATTGGATCCTGTCTAAATTGGCCCTAATATGTGTATGTATGAATGTAAGAAGTTAGGGACCTTAGATTGTACACCCCTTGATTGTTAGGGACTGATGAGAGAATGTACAATATATATATATGTGTAAAGCGCTGCGTAAATTGACGGCGCTATATAAGTACCTGAAATTAAATTAAAAACATAAGTTCAGAAATTCAGTTATGTGTAATAAAATGGCATGACACAGGGAAAAAGTATTGAAACATGCTAACTGAAATTTTTCGTACAAATTTATTCGTACAAAATCCTTCCAATTAGTTGATAAGCTGACAGCTTTAAGACGCCTCCTGTATGGAGAAACTAGTTGCATGATTTGCTCAGGTGTGATTTTGCCCATTCTTCCACACAAACAGCCTTCAAATATATTTTATTTTATTTATTTTATTCTCTTGAAGGTTCTGTGGGCCTCTTCTATGAACTCTGATCTTTAGTTCTTTCCATAGATTTTTCTATTAGATTCAAGTCAGGTGATTGCCTGGGCCATTCTAGCAGCTTTCTTTCCTTTCTTTGAAACCAATTGAGAGTTTCCTTGGCTTTGTGTTTAGGATCATTGTCTTGCTGAAATGTCCACCCTTGTTTCATCTTCATCATCCTGGAAGATGGCTGCAGATTTTTATCAAGAACGTCTTGGTACATTTTTCCATTCATCCTTCCTTCAGTGATATGAAGTTTGTCAGTACCGTATGCTGAAAAAACAGCCTCACACCATGATGTTCCCACCTCCAAACTTCACTGTTGGCATGGTGTATTTGGGATGATGTGCAGTGCCATTGGACCTCCAAACATGGTGTGTATTATGACATCCAAAGAGTTCCATTTTGGTCTCATCTCACCAGACTATATTTTCCCAGTATTTCACAGGCTTGTCTAAATGTTGTGCAGCAAATTTTAAACGAGCTTCAATATGATTTTTCTTCATCAATGGAGTCTTGCATGGTGAGCGTGAATACAAGTCATGGCGGTTGATAGTATCACTTTTTGTTTTCTTTGAAACAATTGTACCTGCTAATTTCAGGTCTTTCTGAAGCTCTCCACAAGTGGCCCTTGGCTCTTGGACAACACTTCTGATACTTCTTTTTACTCCTCTATCAGAAATTAGCAAGGAGCACCTGGTTGTGGCCAGTTTATGGTGAAATTATGTTCTTTCCACTTTTGGATTATGGCCCCAAACAGTGCTCACTGGAGCATTCAGAAGTGTACAAATCCTTCTGTAACCAATGCCATCGGTATGTTTTGCAACAAGAAGGCTGCAAAGGTCTTGAGAGAGCTCTTTGCTCCTACTCATCATGAGATGTTTCTTGTGTGATGCCTTGGTAATGAAACATCTGTTTATAGGCCATCAGTTGAGCCTGAACCAACAGATATTAATTTGCACTGACAAGGGCAGGATTGCTTTCTAATTACTGATGGATTTCAGCTGGTGTCTTGACTTTCCATGCCTTTTTGCACCTTCCCTTCTTCATGTGTTCAATATTTTTTTCCCTGTGTCATTCCATTTTATTACACATAACTTAATTTCTGAACTTACTTGTTTTGGTTTCTTTATATGTATGGGTTACATGGGTTACATGGGTTTTTGTGGTGAAAATATCATGTCAATAGCACCTTTAGAAATAAATCTACTGAGAAAAATGGTGGTGTGTTCAATACTTATTTTACCCGCTTTATGTAATGTGCAGTAACCTGTAGTAACTAAAGATAATCTATTAACTGTTCTAACACATGATTAATATTTCATTCTGACTTCTGAAGCAAATTTTACCAGTAGGCTGGACAACATCTAGTTTGGGGGAACATGCCAATATATTGTTCTGTGATGTCATTAAAATGGGGAGCTTTTATATCCATGAAAGATTACCAAAAGAAATATTCTGTAAATACTGACCTTGCCAGTACTTTCTGAATGTGACTTCTAAGGCAAGGGTCTGCCTTCACTCTAATCGCATGATCAGTCTAAAGCTGGCTAGACATGGAGCGGATTTCACCTAATCAACTGGCCGAAATTCATTCCATGGGTGGTGCTGTCAGCACTCTCCCACCCAACAGCCTGCAACTTAAAAAAATGCAGGCGCAAGTCGAAAAAAAATGTCAGACAGTCAGCTCCTGCCTGAAATCATATGCATGCAACATTTAAATATGGCAGCTGGCTGTCAAAATACAATACCCACAGCAATAGATTCCTCCATCCACCGCAGTTTATGTGTGTATGGCCAGCTTTAGTGTTGTAAAAAATAGAAGCTGCAGCCCCAGCATTAACGTTATGTATGAAAAGTTCTTGGAATATATTTTAAAAAGGATAAAATCGCTATTGAAAGGGAAACCTATCAATCAAACTCAAGCCCTGGTTAGACGATTGGGAAGAGCAGTATATACAAAATCAATTGAGCAAGGGGATGGAAATTCTGGAAAGTCCCAAACATGAACAGAAATCTACTGAAATACTATCAAGAAGGAAAATTTTAATTTTGTAATCTTTCGAAAATGATAGGTGGCTGCATATTCAAAGGAAAGGAAATTTTTAATAACAGTTACATATCTTTTTTTAACGACTTCAAGTCTGGACACTTTCACCCCCTTCCACTCCAGGCCAATTTTCAGCTTTCAGTGCTATCACACTTTGAATGACAATTGCGCGGTCATGCAACACTGTACCCATATGCATTCTTTAGCATTTTTTGAGACAGATAAAACTTTATTTTTATAATAATTATTCACCACTGGGATTTAAATTTTTTTTCTATATAAACGAAAATGTCCAAGAACTTTGAAAAAAAAAAGTGTTTTTCTTACAAAATGTTGCAAATAAATTATCTTTCTTCATAAATCCTGGCCAAAATGTATTCATTTATCTTTTTAATAAGAAAAAAATAACCCATATTAGTTTATAACCAAAAATTATAATTTTTCTACATTTATTTTACATTTTTATTTTACTTTTTTATAATACTGTCACCCTAGCAGTACAGTGACACTGTACTACCTGTGGGGGATGAAGATTTTTTTTTCATTTTTTACACTGGATTGCTTTTGCACCCATAAAGGCTGTAAAGGCAATAATTTCTCCTTCTCTCTGGCTGCATTCCCACAGCCATTGAGAAATATTGCGTGAGCTGTGATTGGTCACAGCTTGTCACATGGTACAAGGCTGTTGTGTGAGTAGCCTTGTGCCATGTGACCTCTGTGATCATTCACAGATTTCACAAGTAGTAAGCAATGATGTCAGGAAGTGACATCTTGTTTACTACTATTCATGTGATTACTGATTGGCCAATCAGTGATCACATGAATCGGGACCTCACACAGAGGTCCCATTTAGCGAGCTGTGTTTGCGGTGCTGCACCCGGGGAGTGCACACAGGCAATGGATGCGGGGAGACATTTAGAAACATCCTCCCGCATCGGCAGCGCTCCCGTCCAGCCATTTATTGACATGGATGGGAAGAGGTTAAAAGGAGGGTGTTTTTAGGCCTCATGCACACAGGTATAAAAAAAACCCGCAACTTTTACAAACATACAGTATATTTTTATTAACGTCTGTAAACACAGTTATATGTTAGCTTATGTGGCCATGCACATTGGTATTTTAAGACTAACATTCAGAGGCATAAAAAATGCACCAGAGCTGAATTTGGAGAGTAGCGTATATACGTGCATTAACACACGTACATATGCGACAGTGAAGGAATTTTTCTGCCAAGTTCTGCCAAAAAAAAAGTTGCATAATTGGAGCTTAAATGCATATGCCTGTGTGCATGAGGACCTAAAAGGAACAGAAATATGGGAATTGTCACTGTTTAGATGATCATAACTTAGAAGACATCTGAAATCTAACAGTAGCTGGTTTTGACTACTTCATTTGACTCACTGAAGCTGATTTACTAAAGTAGTTAGTAATGTTAATGCAATAAATTGTGTGAATATTCACTAAATTATCCAATCATGCAGATGAAATAACTAAGCAGGAATCTGATTTTCACATGAATAGATAATTGTAAAAGTGAATCTTCAGTTCATATGTCTTCGATAACTCAGCCTCGTTGTCTCTCACCATTGTGTACTGCACAAGACCAAGCAGAATATTGGACCAGCCATGATTATTACTTCCTAATTGCCCGTGGGCTTATGTCTTTTCTGAAATAGGGGTCTCTGTCACACCTTTTTTAAAAATGATTTTTTTAAACAATTGTTTGAATTCTTTTCTGAAGTGCTCCTTAAGTGACCATAAATCAACTACTTACCTATCTGCTTTTGTATACTTAAGGCTGCAAGGAGAAGAGCCAGGGGGGTGACAGAAGGCTATGGCGTTGGGGATGTCAGCTATGAGGTTGTTTTTGTATGACAAAAGAAAGTTTCAGTGTCTTGTCCCAATGTAACTTAAAGCACACAAGTAAAATTAGATGGATATATGAGGTTTAAAAATGTGTCTACACTGAATTCAAATGCAGACTTATCGCATGTTGGCTCTGGAGCAATGAAGCTGAAAGTATTCAGTGTACAGAAAACTTGACAGTTTGACCATTTGCACAGTTGTTCTTTTGTTAAACATACCTGAGAGAGTATCAGCTGCCCATGAAATTTAGTCACAAATTTTCTCAGAAAAGAAAAATATGCATCTTGACCCATGATTTTTTCAAGATATCGAAGAAGAAAATAACCCTGAAAATTTGATAAAATACAATTAACTCCAGAAATAAATCACATCAATGTTTTTTGTTAAAGGGAAATCAAAACCAGTTACCTTTAAATAATGGACTTGCATAAAGGCCTTGTCTGCATTTAGTCCATGTCTTACAACAGAAGCTCCAGAGTCACTCACTTCTCCGGTGCTATCACCTTGGGGCCTGATGGTGTGAGAAATGAGGAATGTGATATTATTTTAAAAAAAAAAACATTAAAACACTTTTGGTCAAATACAGATTAAAGTAAATCTTTGCTTTATCCAGGAATGTTCACTTAACTTTACAGATACTTACATTCCCTTTTGCTAATCCTTCACTCCAATTGCCCACAGCAAAGAGAGAAAACCCTGTGTAAGATCCATATTATAGCTCTCTTCCCACCCACATGTGACAGTGCTTGGTGCCTAAGTGGCCAGTTATCAAGCACAAGCATTGTCACATGGTAGGGATGAAGAAAGCAATATGCTCCCCATACCTGGACATAGTGGGTAAAGGGAAGGGTGCCAGTTAAGCAAACCTGTTGCTTTGCTTTGCATGGGCTTTTAGGAGGTTCTCCAAGACAAAGTTAGACATGTTTAATAATAATTTTTACAGTGCTCAGCTTATTAACAACCACAGTGGTTTTGCCAGCAGACTCAGTTTGTATCGGACTTCAGTTGGGTCAAGACGGACCGGCTGTTAGGGATGGTAGTGCCAGAGATGCTTAATCAGTTCCAGGAGCATTCCCATTTAAAAATTTTTTCAATGCCTGCCTAACAAAAACAATATAAAAATGCAAGTATTGATAACCCTCAATAAAAATGGCAGGTAAGCTAAAGATAGCAACCACATCTAAGTGAAACTTTCTTCATACTGAAGGAGAGAACCATTAATTGGTACCAGAACCCAAAGCCACATTAGAAACAATAACAAATAAACACTATACGAAAATCAAAGTTACAATTAAAGCAGACGTCAAGAGTAGACGAAAGCCCTGGTGCATCCATTAAAAACGTTTATTTATTTTTTAAAAAAATTGTTGAAATAACATAAAATCATCTTCACTAAAATCAGGTCATTTGCTGGCCTGCTATTTAAGACTGAAGTTTAGTTAAAGCAGTTGGAAAGTTAAATTTATTTTTTACTAAAATAAAAAACATGTTATATTTACCTGCTCTGTGTAATGGTATTGTACAGAGCAGCCTCGAAGCTCCTCTTCTGGGGTTCCCTGCCGGCACACTTGGCTCTACCTCTTATCCATGTGCCATCATAGGAAGCCTGTTCCTATGGTGGCACACTCCCGAGCCAAGCTGTGTGCATCCATAAACGCACACAAAGAGCAGCTCAACCCTGCTCTCTGCTCACAGTCGATGGCTCTCCCTGCTGCCTTAATGTCCTGTGAGATAGTGGAGAGAGCCACTATAGATAGGCATTGCACTGGATCGAGTGAGGACTCAAGTGTTAAGGGGGTGAGGGGGAGATACATAAAATGCATTAGGGTAAGAAACCTTATAACTTTAGAACCACTTTAAAAAGGCATATAGGTGTATCACATGACTGGCTAATTGCTCCTTGGTGCTTGGCTTTCCTGCTGCTGTTGTGGTGAACTTTCTGGGCTCAGACACTGCTGCCCGCTTCTTTCTCTCCTCTATTCCCTTCAGAAAAGTGGATGTATTGTAGTCACAGAATGCAACACATTCTGTTAGTAACATGTGATGTAGTCACATGACACTGGGAGGAGACTTAAAATGCCACACATTTACTAGCTGTGATAAAGGGAGGAAATATGCTGTCAATCAGCCTTCATGGACAGAGGAAAATTCACCTCCAGTGCACTCTCTAAAACAGTAAGTGCAGAATTGCTGCCATTTACAGCCCATATGAACTGTTACCAATATCAATATCTTAAGAATGCCATCTGACGATAAACACCTTGATAAGGATTGCCTTTGCCTGAAATTCCATTGTAAGGCCCCATTCACACAACACTTGGCAGGATTTAAAAAGCGTGATTCACAAGCAAAAACTCCTGTCGTACATAAAGCAACTATTCAATTGTTTGGGCTGCCCTATGCACATTTCTTGCGTTAAAGAAGCTCAAGGACCAAATTCTGGCCCTGAGCCAGGTAGAATTTTACACAATTTTGTCGCAATACTCATGTGTTTTGTCACCCGACAATCAAACTGCATTTGGGGTGCTATTCAGAATGAATGACACCCAAACTTGTGTCTTATGTTTTGCTGCATTTTTGGAATTGTGGGCAGATCAAAAACAGAAAATATCTTGTGTTGAGAAATTGGAACACTCAATGTAACTATCAAGCAGTCACATAAATGATGCTCACTGACGTTTCTTGTTTTCAAGTCTGATGCATGACTAAACAGATGATTACAGAGACAGAACCAACTGAGACAACCCAAATCCACAAGAACTGTGGTTAGTTCTCCTAGATGTTTGAAACAGCCTACACTGCTACTGTATGTGCAAATTTACAGAGGAGAATTGATGCTGTTTTAAAGGAAAAGAGTGGACACACCAAATATAGATTTTTAGGGGGGGGGGGGGTTCCATTTATGTACTTTGTAAGTTTTTATTGGTAAATAAAAACGATTAGTCTACTGTCACACTGGAGTTTTTTAAGTGTTTTTGCATTAAAAAAGGCCATGAAAAGCTCAAGAAAAAATACTTCCCTATGTATGTGAATGTATATCTATGTATGTTTTCACACTGAGGCGTTGTGCTGGCAGTGCAATGTAAAAACTCCTGCTTACAGCATCTTTGGGGCATGTTTGGTGAGTTAAAAAAAAAATGCCTCTTCCCATTGAAGTCAATGGAAAACACCTGAAAAACGCATAAAAAGCATTGCAAAAGCTTTGAGAAGCGTTTTTGGTGCAGTTTTTAAGTCAGGTGTCCTTTAAAAAAACGCTCAGAAAGTGCGGCAAAAGCGCAGTAAAAATGCCTTTGTGTTTTTGCAGCGGATCAGTGTGGAAGTGACCTAAACCACATTCTTTTTTAAAGCATCAACACTTTACAGCATTTTTTCACTAGTGCCTAAAACTCTTGCACAATACTGTAAGTCTCCCATTTCTGCAGTTTACAAAGAGCTGCTTGCTAAGAATTATGCATTTTTGCTGGCCAAACCCAAGTAACAATGAACAACTCCAGATCAGAATTAGGTAGAAGAAAACAATAAACTTGGAGTTTTTACAGCAGAAATGGAGGTGGTTTGGTTTTTCTCCTAGAAAAATATATGACTCCACTGTGAGCAACCAATGACCAAAATCCACAAGACATTTGAGGAAAGGCAGCCACAGTCTGGCAAGAGAAAGGAGTGGAGAAAAGTTATAAACAAAAAAGGCTGCTGTCCTGCAATATGATTAGTTAGCTACACATTTAACCACTTGCCCTCCTGAGGATTTACCCCCCTTCCTGACCAGGCCATTTTTCGCATTATGGCGCTGCGTTACTTTGTCTGACAATTGCGTGGTCATGCAACGCTGCACCCAAATTAAATTTACGTCCTTTTTTCCCCACGAATTGAGCTTTCTTTCAGTGGTATTTGATTGCCTGTGCATTTTTTTATTTTTTTGTGCTATAAAAAAAAAAAAGACCGACAATTTTGAGAAAAAAACAATATTTTTGACATTTTGCTATTAAACATGTCCAGTAAAAAGAAAATTTTAAATCTAATTTTGTCATAAATTTATACCAAAATGTATTCTGCTACATTTCTTTGTTAAAAAATCCCAATACGTGTAAATTAATTGGTTTACGTGAAAGTTAGGGCTCGTTCACACTTGACTAATTTCTAACTCTTGCCAAATGCCTCTATAGTGTTTGATAGGCATTAGACAGGCGTTTGGGAAGTGTTTTTGACGCTCCTCAAACGCCTTATGCGCGTTTTTGAGGCGTTTGCCAAGTGTTAAAGCCACACCACAAATGCCAATAATGAAGTTTAATGGTATTAACACCCTGCAAATGCCTGCCAGGCATTTAAGGAGCGTCACCATAGACTTGAATGGGAGGCTTCAACTCCTGATTCAACATAAAGCATAAATTTTGATGTAACGCAACGCTTCAGTGTGAACAGCACTGTGTGCTGCCATGTGTAGAATTTTTATAGGCATTTAAGGAGCGTTATAAACGCCTAACGCCTGCTAACAATGCTAGTGTGAACTTAGCCTTATACTGTTTCAAATGGCTGTATATACAGTATCTCACAGAAGTGAGTACACCCCCTCAGCAGTATCAGTGCTAAAAAAAAACAATGTAAAGTAGCAGCTGACACTGTACTAAAGACACTGTTAAACAAAAGTGAATAAAAAATGTGAGGGCTCAGGGAGTATGTTTTACTAGTAATGGCGGCAATGACTTATAGCAGGGCGTGGTCAGTGTGCTTGGTGTCACTGTATCCCCAGTGACACCACTGCAGTCTAAAAAAAAAGGATGACACTGTGACTGTGTGTCACAGCCATCCAGAATCAGTGGATAACGCCCATCCAGAGCTGACAGTGAGGAAAACTGTTAGTAAACAAACAGTACTCCTCCCTGTTGGAGATCTTCGGATTCCATAGCACCTCAAAGCAGAGGTGTGAGCTCAGTGTTGATTTGAAGTCCACACAGGTAATACATTATCACCTAAATTGAGATAACACAAACTCAAACATCTACCAAATAGCAAAAGGACTGTAAAGCTGGCCATAAATGGATCAAAATTTGGTTGGTACAGCAGGGACCAGCTGAAATTTGATCCATGTGCGACAGCTCCCGTTCAACAGAATTTGATCTATCAATCAACTCCTGTTGAGCAGGCTTGTTAGAAAAATGTTTCTCAATCGGTGGCTGCAGCCAATTTTATATGTGTTCAGAATTTGGCTGAGGCAGAAATTAAGACAGCCATACACTGAGCCTGCTTTTTCATTCTTAAAAGTTAAACAGCTGAAATGTGGATGCTGTACCCAAAAAAATCAAGCAACGGACTGGCTACCAGTGTTGCCAGTATGATTCTTGCAGCTGATCTTTCCATTACTAATTTAGAATTTCTAGTTGCACCCCCTGTGTCTCTACACAGATGGAGCCATTACAGTAGAGGCTTCCTTGTGCCACAACTGCCCCTGAATGTTGGTCGGATGACTGATGAAGGAATAATCAAGCAGCAGTAGGAGATGAAGAGGATGCACAT